CTCACCAGTAACCTTGATGACCTTTATGTGAAAAACTATCTTACCGCTCTTCGCTCTATGCAAGAAGACCTCAATAAATGGCACCGTCCCTGTTTCTCGTGGTTTGGAAGGGCAGCGATCATTAAAATGAATGTACTTCCCCGTCTCCTGTATCTCTTCCAAACATTACCAATTCACTTACCTCTTGCTTTCTTTGCTTCTTGCAAAAGACTGTGTTCACTGTTCCTTTGGAGCCACAAACATCCGCGTATTGCCTACTCCCAATTAACCCTCTCTAAACTTAAAGGGGGTATAGGATTTCCTGATCTTTACCGCTACTATTGGGCTTGTCATCTTTCCCGGATAGTTGATTGGCACGTTCACACTGCCTCTAAAGACTGGATATCTATAGAGAATGCTTGCTCGCCCTTCCCCCTGGCATCGATTCCTTGGCTTTCGCCGAAACACACGCCACAAGCTCTTCTCACCCATTCTTTGGTGGGACCTTCGTTAAAAATTTTCCGTTCGGCTTGTAGATCTGCAGCCATTTCTGACACACCCAACCCCCTGACCCCCATACGCCTCAACCCTGACTTCCCCCCTGGAATGCATAAAGACTTTTTAATGAAACACTGGCTACACACAAACAGATCTTAGTGAAACATTTTCTCCACAAGGGCAAGGTGAAAACACTCCGAGAATTGCAGGAAAGCCTGGGTATTCGCGAATTCCCTTTCTGGGTATATTTCCAGATCAGACATTATCTGCTCTCTCATAAACCCCCTCATAACTGGCATCGCTCTCTTACCCCATTTGAATCTGCATGCGCGAAGGCTGAACCGCGGAAACATCTGATCTCGGAGATCTACCCACTTCTAGTGGAGAGCCGGTCTTATGACTCCCTCCCCGCATGTCGGGCTTGGAAGAGAGATCTTAATGCTGAGCTGTCGGACTCAGACTGGGACCTGGTCTTCCAATACTCTCATAAATGTTCCCTCAATGTCTCAACACAAGAGAAAACAGCTACAAATTAGCCTCTAGATCAGCGGTTCTCAACCTGGGGGTCGAACGACGCTTCCACAGGGGTCGCCTAAGACCATCGGAAAACACATATTTCCGATGGTCTTAGGAACCAAGACACCGCTCCTCGCCGCCGCCGCCGCCACCGCCGTCTCCAGGTGTGGGCGGGATGACATGCCGCCCCTGTCATCTGGACACACCTCGAGATCAATCCTCGCCTGTGATTGGCCGCCGGCACTGTAGCTCAGGAGAGGCACACAGGCGGCCAATCACCGGCAAGGAGGTGCAGCTTGGAGAGGAGGAGCCGAGCGGCACCGCGAAGATCGAGCGAGTGAAGAGGAGGAGAGCGGCCGGAGAAGGAAGACATCTGACAGGTAAGTGTCGGTACCATGGGAGAGGGAGGGAGCGAGCGAGCCCAGGCTGGAGCAGGGGTCTGCAAGGTAAGTATCATTGGTGTCAGTGGGAATAGTGCCCCATCATTGGTGTCACTAATACCAATGATGGGGCACTATTCCTCCCACTGACACCAACGATGGGACACTATTCCTCCCTATTCCTCCCACTGACACCAATGATGGGGCACTATTCCTCCCACTGACACCAACGATGGGGCACTATTCCTCCCCCAAATGACACCAACGATGGGGCACTATTCCTCCCCCACTGACACCAAGGATGGGGCACGATTCCTCCCCCCACTGACACCAAGGATGGGGCACTATTCCTCCCCCCACTGACACCAAGGATGGGGCACTATTCCTCCCCCCACTGACACCAAGGATGGGGCACTATTCCTCCCCCCACTGACACCAAGGATGGGGCACTATTCCTCCCCCCACTGACACCTATGATGGGGCACTATTCCTCCCCCACCACTGACACCTATGACCAAGGATGGGGCACTATTCCCCCCACTGACACCTATGATGGGGCACTATTCCCCCCACTGACACCTATGATGGGGCACTATTCCCCCCACTGACACCAATGATGGGGCACTATTCCCCCCACTGACACCTATGATGGGGCACTATGATGGGGCACTATTCCTCCCACTGATACCAATGATGGGGCACTATTCCTCCCACTGATACCAATGATGAGGCACTATTCCTCCCACTGACACCGATGATGGGGCACTATTCCTCCCACTGACACCGATGATGGGGCACTATTCCTCCCACTGATACCGATGATGGGGCACTATTCCTCCCACTGATATCGATGATGGGGCACTATTCCTCCCACTGACACCGATGATGGGGCACTATTCCTCCCACTGACACCGATGATGGGGCACTATTCCTCCCACTGATACCAATGATGGGGCACTATTCCTCCCACTGATACCAATGATGAGGCACTATTCCTCCCACTGACACCGATGATGGGGCACTATTCCTCCCACTGACACCGATGATGGGGCACTATTCCTCCCACTGATACCGATGATGGGGCACTATTCCCCCCACTGACACCTATGATGGGGCACTATTCCCCCCACTGACACCTATGATGGGGCACTATTCCCCCCACTGACACCAATGATGGGGCACTATTCCCCCCACTGACACCTATGATGGGGCACTATTCCTCCCACTGATACCAATGATGGGGCACTATTCCTCCCCACTGATACCAATGATGAGGCACTATTCCTCCCACTGACACCGATGATGGGGCACTATCCTCCCACTGACACCGATGATGGGGCACTATTCCTCCCACTGATACCGATGATGGGGCACTATTCCTCCCACTGACACCGATGATGGGGCACTATTCCTCCCACTGACACCGATGATGGGGCACTATTCCTCCCACTGATACCGATGACGGGGCACTATTCCTCCCACTGACACCGATGACGAGGCACTATTCCTCCCCACTGACACCAATGACGGGGCACTATTCCTCCCACTGATACCAATGACGGGGCACTATTTCTCCCACTGATACCAATGATGGGGCACTATTCCTCCCACTGACACCAATGATCGGGCACTATTCCTCCCACTGATACCAATGATGGGACACTATTCCTCCCACTGACACCAATGATGGGGCACTATTCCCCCCCACTGACACCTATGATGGGGCACTATTCCTCCCACTGAAACCAATGATGAGGCACTATTCCTCCCACTGATACCAATGATGGGGCACTTTCCTCCCACTGACACCAATGATGGGACACTATTCCTCACACTGACACCAATGATGGGGCACTATTCCTCCCACTGATACCAATGACGGGGCACTATTCCTCCCACTGACACCAATGACGAGGCACTATTCCTCCCACTGACACCAATGCCGGGGCACTATTCCTACCACTGACACCAATGACGGGGCACTATTCCTCCCACTGACACCAATGACGGGGCACTATTCCTCCATCTGACACCAATGACGGGGCACTATTCCTCCCACTGACACCAATGACAGGGCACTATTCCTCCCACTGACACCAATGACGGGGCACTATTCCTCCCACTGACACCAATGACGGGGCACTATTCCTCCCACTGACACCAATGAAGGGGGCACTATTCCTCCCACTGACACCAATGACGGGGCACTATTCCTCCCACTGACACCAATGACGGGGCACTATTCCTCCCACTGATACCAATGATGGGGCACTATTCCTCCCAATGACACCAATGACGTGGCACTATTCCTCCTACTGCAAAATTACAGTTATGAAGTAGCAACGAAAATAATTTTATGGTTGGGGGTCACCACAACATGAGGAACTGTATTAAGGGGTCGCGGCACTAGAAAGGTTGAGAACCACTGCTCTAGATTAGAGATGAGCGAAGTATTCAAAAATTCTATTCGACTGATTCGGCGAATTCGTGGAAAAATTTCGATTCGAGTCGAAATATATTCGCTGTGAATTTAACTTAAAAAAGGGTGTTTCTAGGCTTCAGAGAGACTTAATATTAGTGCAGAACACTGTACCTTTAATTTAAATGCCCTTGGAGTCTGCTGGGGAAGAGAAATAATACTGTCAGTCAGTATGACATGCAGATGAGTGCCGTCGATCTTAGAATCACCGCACACTTCACTCATTTGGGCAGTCACGGGGCCAAAACCAGAGTGTGGAGCCACAGTGTGGCGGTGGAGGCAGCAGCAATGGGAGGCCATACAGCACCCTATGACAAAAATGGAAACCACCAGCAGTGTGAGGAGACCTGAAAGTGGCACATGGCAGAGTGTGGCGATAGAGACAGCAGCAATGGGAGGCCGTACAGGGACCCATGACACACTCTGGACCTGGCAGCAGCATGAGGAGGCAGTACAGGGGCCCATGACAGATTACGGGCCTGGCAGCAGCATGAGGAGTTGGTACGGGGGCCCATGGCAGATTACGGGCCTGGCAGCAGCAATGGGAGGCCGTACAGGGACCCATGACACACTCTGGACCTGGCAGCAGCATGAGGAGGTGGTACAGGGGCGCATGACAGATTACGAGCCTGGCAGCCTGGCAACAGCAGCAACTTGGACAGGAGGACGTTCAGCTTCTGCACCGTCGGGTGCGTGCTCGCAAACTGTTGTCTCTTGGAAACGGATTCCAAGAAAGACTGCTGACGGAATCCGTGAAGAGGAGTAGCAGGAGAAGGAGCATCTGAACGAGCGGAATATGCCAACAAGCGACAACAGGGGCCCATGACAGATTACGGGCCTGGCAGCAGCATGAGGAGTCGGTACGGGGGCCCATGGCAGATTAGGGGCCTGGCAGCAGCTATGGGAGGCCCGTAATCTGCCAGCACCCTATGACAAAAAATGGAACCCACCAGCAGTGTGAGGAGACCTGAAAGTGGCACATGGCAGAGTGTGGCGATGGAGACAGCAGCAATGGGAGGCCGTACAGGGACCCATGAGAGACTCTGGACCTGGCAGCAGCATGAGGAGGCGGTATAGGGGCCCATGGCAGATTAGGGGCCTGGCAGCAGCTATGGGAGGCCCGTAATCTGCCAGCACCCTATGACAAAAAAATGGAACACACCAGCAGTGTGAGGAGACCTGAAAGTGGCACATGGCAGAGTGTGGCGATGGAGACAGCAGCAATGGGAGGCCGTACAGGGACCCATGAGAGACTCTGGACTTGGCAGCAGCATGAGGAGGCGGTATAGGGGCCCATGGCAGATTAGGGGCCTGGCAGCAGCTATGGGAGGCCCGTAATCTGCCAGCACCCTATGACAAAAAATGTAACACACCAGCAGTGTGAGGAGACCTGAAAGTGGCACGTTTGGGGCATGATTCATGGCGGATTTAGTCAGTTGTGTCAGGAACTGGTGGTTTGAAATCCAGACTAATCCACGCCTGATTCATTTTCACAAACGTCAGTCTCTCCACACTTTGGGTGGACAGTCGTGTCCTCCGCGGAGTTGCAATACCTCCTGCCGCACTAAACACGCGCTCCGATGCCACGCTACGCTACTGGCCGGGCATGACAGCCTTTCAAAGGGCAAATTCAGCTAGTTGGGGGCCAAAGGTCAAGTTTCGTTGCCCAGTAGTCAAGGGGATTGTCTACCTCGGTTGGCAGGGTGCTGTCCAAGTAGGCCTAAGCCTGTTGTTTTGAGGTCCTGCTCCAGGTCCCTGATGCTGCTGATGCTGCTGCTGCGGCTGGTTAGTAGTTTTCCTCACTGCGCTGGTGAAGAAAGCTACTCATCATCGACTGCAGACTGAGGCAGCCGCTGCTGGTGGAGCTGCCACTGCTCCTACCACCCCCCACCCCTCCCCTGCTGCCATGGCAGCGGAACGCGAGCGCACAGGGCCCACAGTGTCTGAGGATGGACGTTGGCGCAGACAGGCAGAGACCAGCTGACTACATAGGTGGTTTTTTTATAGTACGTTATTTTGGCCTCCCTCTCAGCAGGTGTGAAAAAGGCCACCATTTTTGAACGGTAGCGAGGGTCCAACAAGGTGGACAGCCAAAAGTCATCCCTCTGTCTGATGGTTATTATTCGGCTGTCGCTACGCAAGCAAGCGAGCATGCTATGGGCCATTTGTGCCAAGGAATGCGAGGGACTCCCTGCCTCCATCTCCACAGCATACTGCCACGGTGCGTCTGGGTCCTCTGTCTCCTCTTCCTCCTCCTCCTCTACCAGATGCTCCTGCTCCTCCACTCCTGTCCGCTGAGTGGAAAAACCACCCATTTCACTCAATAATTCCTGAGCACCAATGTCCTCCTCTACCTCCTCCTCTTCTTCCTGTCCTGCCCCCACAGGGGTCATGTGGCGTTGAGATCTGTGCGCCACGTCTACCGCACCCTGACCAGCCATTGTTAACAGCATTTGTTCCAGGACGTGCAACAGAGGAATGACGTCGTTCATCCCATAGTCCTGCCGACTCACGAATAGCGTGGCCTCCTCTCAAAGGGCCTGAGCAAGCGCAGGTGTCACGCATGAGCTGCCAATGGCTGACATCTAAGTTACACAGGGAGACCTTTATCCGCTTTTAACATCAGGAAATCTGTGATGGCCTTTTGCTGTTCGTAAAGGCGGTCTAACATATGTAGGGTTGAATTCCACCTTGTTGCAACGTCACAGCATGAGGAGTCGGTATAGGGGCCCATGGCAGATTAGGGGCCTGGCAGCAGCTATGGGAGGCCCGTAATCTGCCAGCACCCTATGACAAAAAAATGGAACACACCAGCAGTGTGAGGAGACCTGAAAGTGGCACATGGCAGAGTGTGGCGATGGAGACAGCAGCAATGGGAGGCCGTACAGGGACCCATGAGAGACTCTGGACCTGGCCTGGCAGCAGCATGAGGAGGCGGTATATAGGGGCCCATGGCAGATTAGGGGCCTGGCAGCAGCTATAGGAGGCCCGTAATCTGCCAGCACCCTATGTCAAAAAATTCAAACACACCAGCAGTGTGAGGAGACCTGAAAGTGGCACATGGCAGAGTGTGGCGATGGAGACAGCAGCAATGGGAGGCCGTACAGGGACCCATGACAGACTCTGGACCTGGCAGCAGCATGAGGAGGGCGGTATATAGGGGCCCATGGCAGATTAGGGGCCTGGCAGCAGCTATAGGAGGCCCGTAATCTGCCAGCACCCTATGTCAAAAAATTCAACACACCAGCAGTGTGTGAGGAGACCTGAAAGTGGCACATGGCAGAGTGTGGCGATGGAGACAGCAGCAATGGGAGGCCGTACAGGGACCCATGAGAGACTCTGGACCTGGCAGCAGCATGAGGAGGCGGTATATAGGGGCCCATGGCAGATTAGGGGCTGGCAGCAGCTATGGGAGGCCCGTAATCTGCCAGCACCCTATGTCAAAAAAAATTCAACACACCAGCAGTGTGAGGAGACCTGAAAGTGGCACATGGCAGAGTGTGGCGATGGAGACAGCAGCAATGGGAGGCCGTACAGGGACCCATGACAGACTCTGGACTTGGCAGCAGCATGAGGAGGCGGTATATAGGGGCCTATGGCAGATTAGGGGCCTGGCAGCAGCTATGGGAGGCCCGTAATCTGCCAGCACCCTATGTCAAAAAATGGAACACACCAGCAGTGTGAGGGACCTGAAAGTGGCACATGTTTGGCATGAGCATGATGGCGATGGGGACAGCAGTTGTGTCAGGAACTGGTGGTTTGAAATCCAGACTAATCCACGCCTGATTCATTTTCACAAACGTGAGTCTCTCCACACTTTGGGTGGCAGTCGTGTCCTCCGGGAGTATGGCAATACCTCCTGCCGCACTAAACACGCTATCCGATGCCACGCTACTGGCCGGGCATGACAGCCTTTCAAGGGCAAATTCAGCTAGTTGGGGCCAAAGGTCAAGTTTCGTTGCCCAGTAGTCAAGGGGATTGTCTACCTCGGTTGGCAGGGTGCTGACCAAGTAGGCCAAGCCTGTTGTTTGAGGTCCTGCTCCAGGTCCACCTGGCTGCTGCTGCTGCTGCTGCAGCAGCATGGCTGGTTAGTAGTTTCCTCACTGCGCTGGTGAAGAAAGCTACTCATCATCGACTGCAGACTGAGGCAGCCGCTGCTGGCCAGCACCCTATGCTCCTACCACCCCACCCCTCCCCTGCTGCCATGAGGAGCGGAACGCGAGGGAAGCACAGGGCCCAGTGTCTGGGATGGACGTTGGCCAGACAGGCAGAGACCAGCTGACTACATAGGTGGTTTTTATAGTAGGGGTTGGCAGATTAGGGGCCTCCCTCTCAGCAGGTGTGAAAAAGGCCACCATTTTTGAACTAGCGAGGGTCCAACAAGGTGGACAGCCAAAAGTCATCCCTCTGTCTGATGGTTATTATTCGGCTGTCGCTACGCAAGCATGGCGAGCATGGCATGGAGACAGCATGCTATGGGCCATTTGTGCCAAGGAATGCGAGGCCGAGGGACTCCCTGCCTCCATCTCCACAGCATACTGGGGGTGCGTCTGGGTCCTCTGTCTCCTCCTGGAGACCCGTAATCTGGTCCTCCTCTACCAGATGCTCCTGCTCCTCCACTCCTGTCCGCTGAGTGGAAAAACCACCCATTTCACTCAATAATTCCTGAGCACAAATGTCCTCCTCTACCTCCTCCTCTTCTTCCTGTCCTGCCCCCACAGGGGTGTGTGGCGTTGAGATCTGTGCGCCACGTCTACCGCACCCTGACCAGCCATTGTTAACAGCATTTGTTCCAGGACGTGCAACAGAGGAGACTCTGACGTCGTTCATCCCATAGTCCTGCCGACTCACGAATAGCGTGGCCTCCTCAAAGGGGGCCTGAGCAAGCGGCAGGGTGTCACGCATGAGCTGCCAATGGCTGACATCTAAGTTACACAGGGTGAGGAGTACCTTTATCCGCTTGTAACATCAGGAAATCGGTGATGGCCTTTCGCTGTTCGTAAAGGCGGTCTAACATGTGTAGGGTTGAATTCCACCTTGTTGCAACGTGGCAGATCAGGGGCCTGGCAGCAGCTAGGCGATGCTGTGCAATCCGTTCTGCCGCTGCAGCTCAAGGAGGGTGTGCTTTGCAGGTGTAGGAATGGCTGAAATGCATGCAAAGTTTACGTGACATTTACAGGATGTCTTGCAGTGGGATGGTGGATTTTAGGAACCGCTTGACAACCAGATTGAACAGGTGAGCCATGCATGGGGCATGGCACAACCTTACTTGACGCAGAGCAGACACCATGTAATCTTTCCGTTGTCGGTCAAAAACATGGTGAACGATTTTCAGTTTGCGCGGAGACAGCCATCTGTCGATTTCTCTGTTCATTACACTGAGAAGTTCCTCCCCTGTGGACCCGTTGAGAGCCTGGACCTGGCAGCAGCATGAGGAGGCGGTATATAGGGGCCCATGGCAGATTAGGGGCCTGGCAGCAGCTATGGGAGGCCCGTAATCTGCCAGCACCCTATGTCAAAAAACTGAACACACCAGCAGTGTGAGGAGACCTGAAAGTGGCACATGGCAGAGTGTGGCGATGGAGACAGCAGCAATGGGAGGCCGTACAGGGACCCATGAGAGACTCTGGACCTGGCAGCAGCAGCATGAGGGCGGTATATAGGGGCCTATGGCAGATTAGGGGCCTGGCAGCAGCAGCTATGGGAGGCCCGTAATCTGCCAGCACCCTATGTCAAAAAATTCTGAAACACACCAGCAGTGTGTGAGGAGACCTGAAAGTGGCACATGGCAGAGTGTGGCGATGGAGACAGCAGCAATGGGAGGCCGTACAGGGACCCATGAGAGACTCTGGACCTGGCAGCAGCATGAGGAGGCGGTATATAGGGGCCTATGGCAGATTAGGGGCCTGGCAGCAGCTATGGGAGGCCCGTAATCTGCCAGCACCCTATGTCAAAAAATTGAACACACACACCAGCAGTGTGTGAGGAGACCTGAAAGTGGCACATGGCAGAGTGTGGCGATGGAGACAGCAGCAATGGGAGGCCGTACAGGGACCCATGAGAGACTCTGGACTGGCAGCAGCATGAGGAGGCGGTATATAGGGGCCTATGGCAGATTAGGGGCCTGGCAGCAGCTATGGGAGGCCCGTAATCTGCCAGCACCCTATGTCAAAAAATTGAACACACCAGCAGTGTGTGTGAGGAGACCTGAAAGTGGCACATGGCAGAGTGTGGCGATGGAGACACAGCAGCAATGGGAGGCCGTACAGGGACCCATGAGAGACTCTGGACCTGGCAGCAGCATGAGGAGGCGGGTATAGGGGCCTATGGCAGATTAGGGGCCTGGCAGCAGCTATGGGAGGCCCGTAATCTGCCAGCACCCTATGTCAAAAAATTGAACACACCAGCAGTGTGTGAGGAGACCTGAAAGTGGCACATGGCAGAGTGTGGCGATGGAGACAGCAGCAATGGGAGGCCGTACAGGGACCCATGAGAGACTCTGGACCTGGGCAGCAGCATGAGGAGGCGGTATATAGGGGCCCATGGCAGATTAGGGGCCTGGCAGCAGCTATGGGAGGCCCGTAATCTGCCAGCACCCTATGTCAAAAAATGGGAACACACCCAGCAGTGTGTGAGGAGACCTGAAAGTGGCACATGGCAGAGTGTGGCGATGGAGACAGCAGCAATGGGAGGCCGTACAGGGACCCATGAGAGACTCTGGACCTCTGGCAGCAGCATGAGGAGGGCGGTATATAGGGGCCTATGGCAGATTAGGGGCCTGGCAGCAGCTATGGGAGGCCCGTAATCTGCCAGCACCCTATGTCAAAAAATTGAACACACCAGCAGTGTGTGAGGAGACCTGAAAAAGTGGCACATGGCAGAGTGTGGCGCGATGGAGACAGCAGCAATGGGAGAGGCCGTACAGGGACCCATGAGAGACTCTGGACCTGGGCAGCAGCATGAGGAGGCGGTATATAGGGGCCTATGGCAGATTAGGGGCCTGGCAGCAGCAGCTATGGGAGGCCCGTAATCTGCCAGCACCCTATGTCAAAAAAATTCAACACACCAGCAGTGTGTGAGGAGACCTGAAAGTGGCACATGGCAGAGTGTGGCGATGGAGACAGCAGCAATGGGAGGCCGTACAGGGACCCATGAGACTCTGGACCTGGCAGCAGCATGAGGAGGCGGTATATAGGGGCCCATGGCAGATTAGGGGCCTGGCAGCAGCTATGGGAGGCCCGTAATCTGCCAGCACCCTATGTCAAAAAAAATTCTAACACACCAGCAGTGTGTGAGGAGACCTGAAAGTGGCACATGGCAGAGTGTGGCGATGGAGACAGCAGCAATGGGAGGCCGTACAGGGGACCCCCCATGAGAGACTCTGGACCTGGCAGCAGCAGCATGAGGAGGCGGTATATAGGGGCCCATGGCAGATTAGGGGCCTGGCAGCAGCTATGGGAGGCCCGTAATCTGCCAGCACCCTATGTCAAAAAATTTCAACACACCAGCAGTGTGTGAGGAGACCTGAAAGTGGCACATGGCAGAGTGTGGCGATGGAGACAGCAGCAATGGGAGGCCGTACAGGGACCCATGACAGACTCTGGACCTGCAGCAGCAGCATGAGGAGGCGGGTATATAGGGGCCTATGGCAGATTAGGGGCCTGGCAGCAGCTATGGGAGGCCCGTAATCTGCCAGCACCCTATGTCAAAAAAATTCAACACACCACCAGCAGTGTGTGAGGAGACCTGAAAGTGGCACATGGCAGAGTGTGGCGATGGAGACAGCAGCAATGGGAGGCCGTACAGGGACCCATGAGAGACTCTGGACCTGGCAGCAGCATGAGGAGGCGGTATATAGGGGCCCATGGCAGATTAGGGGCCTGGCAGCAGCTATGGGAGGCCCGTAATCTGCCAGCACCCTATGTCAAAAAAATTGGAACACCCAGCAGTGTGAGGGAGACCTGAAAGTGGCACATGGCAGAGTGTGGCGATGGAGACAGCAGCAATGGGAGGCCGTACAGGGACCCATGAGACTCTGGACCTGGCAGCAGCATGAGGAGGCGGTATATATAGGGGCCCATGGCAGATTAGGGGCTGGCTGGCAGCAGCTATGGGAGGCCCGTAATCTGCCAGCACCCTATGTCAAAAAATTCTAACACACCAGCAGTGTGAGGAGACCTGAAAGTGGCACATGGCAGAGTGTGGCGATGGAGACAGCAGCAATGGGAGGCCGTACAGGGACCCATGAGAGACTCTGGACTGGACCTGGCAGCAGCATGAGGAGGCGGTATATATAGGGGCCCATGGCAGATTAGGGGCCTGGCAGCAGCTATGGGAGGCCCGTAATCTGCCAGCACCCT